TCACCACATCTGCATCTCCATCTGCATGCTCACTACTCACACTCACACTACTCTAAACAAACTTCCATGAAAACATACGCAGTGCTGCTCACTCATGTACACACACTGTGTACACACACACGACCACACTGCCTCCCACATCCATCACCTTGTGCTCACGGTTTGTTTTTCCTGGACGACCAGTTTTAAGGCACCAGAGGCACAATGCTCCTGATCCGTGCACTTTATTCCATTGTGATGTCACTGGCGTCAATCAGTTCTTGTTTTCTCCGACAGACACGCCGCCCCCTCCAAAATGTACCTTTGCCCCCTTCCCTCCTTTTCCACCTAGTCCCTCTAATTCTTTCTCCTCATGGTGTCTGTTTTTCTTTCTCCAGGATGCAGATATCTTCATTCCACTGCTGCACATTTATCTTTTATGCTTGAATTACAACCTACCCTGTTTTTCTTGTTCTCAAACACTTTGTTTGCTACAGAGGAGTTGCAGGATCACTCAGGCTGGATGGATAGATAGTGTGCATGCTTGCAGAGGAGAGGAGGAAGGAAAACAGTCAGGCGGAGAGATTTCAAAGTTTGTTTTAGATTCAGCCCCCCCCCGATTGACGGTTCAAATGACACATCCTTGAACACAACTCTTATTAGTGGATCACAACTAAACATCTTCATGTTAAACTTTAAACTGTGTAAACTCTAAATTGTTTAACTGATTTGTCATGAGCTGTTTTTCAGGTTTTCTCTTCTTTAAGTTTATTCATCTCCTCCTTTCTGTCAATTTATTTATTTTGTTTTTTATGCCTCTCTTACCTGTACCTTTGCAGTGTTTGCTGTGCACACACAGAATACATCAGCCATCTGTCAGAGCCCCCTCATAGTGGGCTTTGATGGATGAGCAGTAAAAAAAAGACGAAAAAAAATCAGTGAGGGGCCACAAGGAGAAGAAGAAACAGATCAACTTTCTTTTCTTTCTGGTTTTTACAGCTACACGATAAAGCAGTTTTAATATATTTGGCTGCTTATTGCACCTGTATTAAGAAAATATATATCCTACATCAAATTTTACACTCTCCTATGGTAGTTCATTATAAATCTTTGAGGGATGAGCGCTGTGCTGTGAATGTTTGTGCAGGAATGTTTTGAAACTGAAATTCCGAGAAGACATAAGTGGAATAACGATGGGAAAGCGCCACAATGTGTTGCTGAAATAAAGACAAAAAAAAAAAATGCTCTCAACGATCTGTGTTTCTGAAATGGTTTGAATATTTTGAAGGAGATCGATTCTGACAGCCGACATGTGCAAAAATAAGAACAGCATCAGACGTACAGCCTGTAGCAAGTATTCATAGCAAGTAATCCATTCAAAATGCTTGGATCCCTCCAATCCCCAGTCCTGCTGTCTGGATCCGAAATCGCACGTGCATACTTGCATACTTTTGTTCTGTCTGCGTTTTTCATGGTGTAACTTCTCCTGCATGCCCACAAAAATATGCAGTTGGCTGAAGCTGGTCAAAGGTTTGGATCAGGTTCATGCGGCGCTGCTCTGTGTAACTTTTATCCTCTGTTCAACCACCTGAAAACCTCCTGTGATCCATCTGTGTACGTGAAGGCCGGTGGATCACATTTGTCTTCGCGAGCTTCCATTAACATCCAACTTGGCAGCAAAAATCACACGTCTGCCATTCAGCTTATTCATCTACGTCCTCCACAGCTATTAGAATGACAGAGCACTCACAGATAATAAGCCGTATTCCTCCATGAAAAGTGGCCGCGGCTATCACACTGTGACCATATGCAGAGATTGCCGCGATATGATGGATTAACTCACTCGCTCAGCGCTTAACGCTTTGAAAATTCGTAAACAGATTATGTTACGGACAATCTGTCTTTTGAAACCAGCGAAAGGTAAACAAAACACATTCTCATAACGCCTGCGCTCTGGAACGGCCGGGACTTTTTGTTTACAGAGATCATCTTGTCACTGAAAGGCCACAAACTCGATCATAAGCAAAGCTCTGTGTCCTGCCAAAGTGCTTCATTAATAAACATATCTGCTGTGCCCCACATTCATCAACACCTGTAGAAAGCTACATTGGAAACATTTGATCAGCTCTTACAGTTTAGTCTAGCTGCACTTTTACTTTAGAAAGGAAGTGAAAACACAAGAACTTTAAAAGGTAATGTTAACATTTATACATTAATAGAATACACGTTTTCAGTCAGTGCTCCTTCAAGTAAAGGAAGGGAATTGAATTATGCTTGTGATTCTCACGACATTAAATTCTGATTCATTAAACTAAAAGTGTATTATTGGTGAACAATGAAAACTGTTTACATCATGTAGCCGGAGTTACAGAAAACTTCTGCAGAGAAATGTTCCCATTAATTTCTGGGAACATCACAAGAAATTAATTCCAATTGTAATGGAGCAGAGGCAGAGAAGAAAGATTTATGAATGAAACTAAAGAGGTAGGCTACTTCACCACTCAAGGTAAGAGAGAAAATATATGTATTAAAACTAATTTGGGTTCAAATCAAGCACTTTCTCTTGGGGTACAGATACTTATCATATACTATCTGATACTCATCTCCAACGCTTTGTGTTATTATTGACTTTATGCTCAAAACCAAGTTCAATGAGTATTTTTCACAGTCAGTGATGGGTTTGCAAATGTGAGTCATGCCTGTAGCCTCTCATGGAAAACGTCTCTGAGAATAATGACAGTAATGGGGCCTTTGATAGAAATAAAACAGCACTTTATTGGCAAAGTAATCTCCCACTGTATCTTTTCCTGGTTATTACGGATTCACACAAAGTTGAAATCCCAAATTCTTCATCTGTCTGTTATTCACGGTTCGATAGTTAATGTTTCTCTCAGATGTTCTTTAACTTCTCATTGCCAGCTTTGTCCGACCAGGTGTTGCTCTTCGCTCGGTGCATTTTTAGCCCGAGGTATGACCCAGTTCAGGCTGTCCCGCAGGAAGACGAATGGCTCTGTCAGACCTTTTGTTCCTTTTGAGTGAAAATTCAGTTAAGCCTCATCCCTCCCCATTGAGGCCAATGGAAGCCATGTTTACCGACATGAAAAGTGAGCTTGATTGAGTTACTGCTTTTGGATTGAGTGCGGCGTATTCCAGGACACTCTCCATCTCTCTCTTCTCCAGGCACAGGAGTGCAGCGCTGTTGTTGTTTTTTTAATTGCCAATGCCACAGTTCCAATAGACATACATCTCTAAGGAGATTCACTGAAAGGTCTTTGCAGATGAGACTCCCTCTCAAAGGAAAACAGCTGTCATTTTTATTTCTGGCACAATACGAGGAGCTAGAAATAAATTACAACATGTGGGAGAATGTCCGGCAAGAAATCTCAGGGGAAAAGAAAGGTTGTCATAGATTGAGATATTTTAAGTCGCTGCATTACTTTCAGGCCTTCATGCTGCTCTGTGACCTAACATGACATGTAAGATATTATCTACCTGATAATAGATAGAGAGAAAAAAATGGTTTGCTTTCCCAAAGAACCAATTTCAAACCCAATGACTAATTCTACAGGTTTTTGATCCATAACCTCAAAAGCCAAGGTCAATTCATTATCCTGCCTTTTGTCTTAGTCTCACCTACAGTCTCCCTCCCTCTTCTCTTGCACATCAGTTGTCACACCTAAGCTGTTAACCGAACAAAGTGGATTAATTTTGCTGCTTTACTGCTTTGTGTGACAAAATGTCCTCGAGTACCAGAGGAGTCAGGATAATCATATTAGAGTGATTCTCAGGGAGCTTACGGCCCCACCTCCTCAGCTGCAGGACAGAATGGTTCGACTGATCTGATGAGAACCTGGCGGCACCGCAGGACGAGACGGCCAGGTTTGCTGACATCATGGGACAACTCCATCTCTGCCAGGGATCAATGGCTTTGGGCTAGACAAACAGAGAGTGGCCGATGGTTGTAGCACGTTTTCAGTGTGCCTTTACATGAATTGCCTCCCACCCCTGCAGCACCGACGGACACTACCAGTGCTGCAGGGTTGGGAGGCAATTCATGTAAACGTAATGCACGTAAAATGTACAAAATACAAACTACAGCTTCCTTGTTAGCTGCAGCCTGTAGGGAAAAAATGAAGAGGACGCTGCAATTTCATCACCACTATTTATTTGCCTGTTTGGTTGGATTTTTGTCAATGTGTCTTCAAGGTTTGTGCATATGTGTGAGTGTGTGCATGAATTTATGAATCCACTCATTGTGTCTGCACCTGAGTGTTTGAGTGCATGCCATTTGTATTTCCTTAACATCACGTGTGTCTGTGTGTGACAGTCTTGACATTCAACTCAGAAGACAGCATGTGTGTCCTTTTTTTTCTTTTTTACACTAACCTCTGCTCTGTGTGCAGCCAAGGGCGTGACCTAATGTCGCCCTGCTGACTCAGCCAATTGGCATTCCTGGATAGGCGGAAGTGGAGCGGCCCTTGTTCACGGTTACCAAAGGAGATGGATGGAGGAGGAGAAGAGCAAAACAGAAGAAAGCTTTGAATAAAAACAGGCCCGGTGTGTATCAATGACTTACACAAGGCATAATCATTACAGGGAGGGGAGGTGCTTCTCTGTCTCTCCCATGCTCTCTCTTTGTCTCTCTCTCAAACACACACACACACACACACACACACGCATAAACTTCAAAACAAGTTTCCAAATACATATGCATACACACTCTACATAATGTGCATAAGCAAATGCACAATACCTTCTCTACCTGTTTCTCTCTCTCTCTCTCACACACACACACACACACACACACACACACGCAAGCACGCACACATGCACACACTTCATAGGTATGTAAAACACCCTGCCTTCACTTCTGGCTGCACGCTCCACCCTCAGCCCTAGAGGACAGGCTGGTTGACCCAGGAGGAGGAGGAGATAGAGGGGGAGAGAGGGAGGGGAGGAAGGTGGGAGGTAAGAGCAGACGGAGCTCAAATTCATTTCTGCTCATGGTGTTGGGGGCACAGCACATTGCAAGAGCCCAACGTGACGCACAGGGAGCCGGGACACACATACGCACACACAGCTATCAAATGGATTACCCCCCCGACACAGGCCTTTGAACTGCAACACAGCAAGAACAATACAGGCAGCAGATGAGGAGCTGCACAAACCCTTCAGAACTTCTTTGACACTTTTTTGAGGAGAAAAGTAGCTTTGATTAAGACTCATTATTTGTTTTGGTTTTGAGTCTTGCCTGATTCATTCAGATTCACTGAGCAGAGGGACTTGGACTGACAGCTGATGATGGGAATATTTTTTTTGGGTTAACATTCGACAGATCCCGTCTCTCTGCTGTGCCACTGGAGTGGATCGGACGTAAGTAAACACCTTTAATTGACCCTGTGGTGACAGGGTTTGATGACAAACACCAATTCACTGCTGTTATTACGAGTCTCCTCTCATCACTTAAAAACGAATTGTTGGTTCTGTTGAAACTTGTTCACATTGTGTGTCAATAGCTTTGTTTACTGATTGATCTGAATGTGTCTGTACGGTATCTAATGTCCACATTAGTCACACAATTATCAAATCAAAATCAAATCAAAATGTTATTTGTTGCATACACAGTACAACGTGCAGTGAAATGCTTTTCTATGACTCTCCTTGATCTGAAGATAAGATACGATAAAACAAGAAAAAAATAATTTATTTTAGAGTTAATATAGTTTGAGGACGGTAGGAAGAGATACATACAAATATATGTAAAGTGCAGGTATGCGCAGTTAATGTACAACCATGTGCTGGGCAACATCAGACTGAGGTAGGTTTAATAAATATGATAAAAAGGATATGAAATATTAAGAAATGACCACATCAGGGAGAACAGTGCATTATTTTGATGGCTGAGATCTTTCACCATCTACCTGGCTTTTGTGTATAACACTTAAGGTCTGTCTTCAGCATTTTATTACTTCTTTTACCTGTTTATTAATAGGGTACATAATTGTTTCTACTG